GGGTCTTCACTGACCGAACAAGCCCTGTTCTTCCCACAGTGCAATGCACCTGGGGTGACAGGGGGCTGAGAAAGTTCCCTTGGCTTTACTGGGGTAATCCCTTGATAAATAAACTAGGAAGACAAGACCACCACTGCTATCTGTAAGCCAATACTCCCTTAGAGGAGGGATGGCCCTGGGTTTGGTCAGCTTGGAGCTTACTCTCCTGCTGCACTCCTCTTATACTCTCTTGCTTCAGGATGATATGTGCATAAAACACACACATTAATTAGGAGATAAATACATGAAAATATATCCTATGTGCACCTTTGTAATAGACTGACTGTTCTCTTTGATGTACAAAACAAACTCTAGCCGGTTTTTACACCCCATAGTTATAAAAACACTGATGTCTTCTCCCTGCAGCAGAAGAAATCAAATTTCATTGGGCATGTCATGTATGTAGACTAGAGGACTTGTAATTCCCTAAAGTGTTCTCACTCCAACAGTCTTTGTCCTTAGGAGTGCTTCAGAAAATAGCAGAAATTATATTTACAAGGACAAACAGGTGGTCACACACACATACTGTACATGCTCAAAACCAAGCACTCATGCTGAGCCCAAATGGGATTTTTATTCTTGCGTCAAGTTGGGAAATAATTAATTTATGGCTGCTTTCTGACCCGTGTCGTTAATCAACCTGTCATTTGATTGACTCTCAGGATTGCAGTGTGTGGTCATCCCATCTAACCTGTCCATTTCTCAAGAGGACCCTTAGCCAGGCATAAGAATGATTTGTGTCACTGATCACTTTTTGTGAATCAAACCAGCTCCTTGGCAGGTTTTCTTTAACAAACCCTGACTTTTTCTCAGTTAGTCGTCAGCAAAAGACAGCAATCTCTACTCCCATTTAAATAATGAAATCTACACTTTGTCTTTCTAACACTGACTCTGACTCAGTCAGTTCCGCCAAGTTGTTGTTCTTGGTTGCACCTGGTAAATTCTTGTAGTCATTCTAGAGATCGTGTGCATATTTGTGAGTGAGGATGATTATAGTGCTGCTTTAAAGACATTAACATTAAAGAACTGGACTAAACACATTTTAAAAGTAAATTTTTATATGCATCTAAGCTTAACATCTTTAGCACCATTTCAATGACTGTTTAAAAATGTTCATTAAACACAATTATGCATGGTTTTTTAAATGTATAGTAGATGTATAAAAATGTACTTGATGCTTTTCCAGCTGCAAATCACCAAAATATAATTACTGGGTCAGACTGAGGTTACAGTCAGAGGTCTATAAATTAACTTGCGTCTTACCTGATTGATTTCATCTTCTGCTGCGAGCAGCATTTTGTCCCCACTAGGTTACAGCTGAATAAATATATTTAACAGATTAATGTAATGGACAACAGGATTTCAGCACTTTATCATGATGATGAGTGGACCACTGAATAAAAAGTGTTTTCTTTTAAGATAAATGTGCATTAATGTCACACAATTATTTGTATGTCCACTGGATTAAAATGGCAGCTCTGCTCTTTGCCATGGTGAATCATAGCATGGGAGCTCAATTGATTCTAATAATGATTTTAATAATCAGCACTCTGTGAGAATCACATTGGAGTTACAGTAATTATACTGACTCTGATCGGCTCTTCTGGACCTGGAAACTGTTTCCCATCTCAGGGTTAGTCAACTCACAGCTCAGGGTTAAGTTCAGAGTTTGCTGAACTTGCTTTCTGGAATGCCACCCTGGCCTTTTTAGAAGTAATGCATTTTTTAGCCTCTTCTCTGTGGTTTGGTGGTGTAGCACAAACAGAACTGTGAGTGACCTCCTCTTGATGTTCATATTTTACACGGATGTTTACATTTTTGCCCGTGAGAATAGCAAAGTGTCATATAGAGGCGGGTGAGAAATGACACTAGATTTAACACTTTAGACTGCTTTGCTGAAAAGGTCACACCAATGGTTTTAGAACCTGTCTTAATCCTCTATTAATCACTGCTGCAGAGAAAAAAAATAACCTTTAGCGTTGATATTTTTTTAGTTGTTTTAATATACTGAATTAAAATTTTCATCTTTCATCTCTTGAAATGTGTCATAAATGTTTTCAAGGTTAATCTTAAAAAAAAAGACTACTTCATATTTTCTTGAACTTTTAAACTCTTTAAACTCATTTTATCACTACTTTCCAATGAAGTTTTAATGATTTTCTTTGTACTGCAACAGGTGTGTTATTATGAGTGTTTGTTGAGGTGCATTTAGCAGAGTGAAGGGCTCGTCTGTTCTCTTCTTTTGTTGTTAGTCTGTCTCCTCTTGTGAGTTTCCTTTTTTGATGTTTCACTTGATGAAGATGTCATTATATTGTCATTTCCCGAATAAAAAACAGTAGCTGTTGTTACAGACTGGTCTTGGCTTTGCTTGGCCCTTGCACACCTGTCTGCTGCACAGTCTGCCAGCTTCACCACTTTCATACAAACACACACTCCCTCTTCCACAAGCATGGTACTGTAGACTTCCCAAACAATGGCTGGACAGGATGTCATGTTGCCTGGAATATGTTTTTTTGAAGGAAGGTATTATATAGAAATGTAATCTATCTAAATAAGAAACAGGCATGTGATTCACATCAGTGGCAACTGCAATCCTGGCCACATATTTCAAGTAGTTATACATTTACTTTATAAACAGGTTTAATTAAGTTTGCAAGGTAAAATGAATCAGCCATGGCATTTATAGCTTTGCTACTCCTCGAGACTAACTGTGATTTACTGTATTATTTTGTCGCTACAAACACTACTGCCAGAGTTGATAATTGTGGCCTGACCACTGTTAAAAGCTAATCAGCAAAACAATATATCCCTGTTTGCCATTGCTCTTGTTCAGAAACTCCGACTAGCAAACTTTGATTCATAAAACAATCCATTTACCAGGTTTAAAATTTAGTAGGTGCTAATAAATGTTGTGCAGATGGTATGCAAATGAATTAAACAGTAACTGTCTGCAGAAGCACCACAGCTCATGCAAAGAGCATTCGGCTTAGTGCGTTGACAGGCTACATGGACAAAACAGTTGTTATGTTCTATCTTTTGTCGCTGCCACAGTGTAGTGCATGTGTGGTGGGTACAGGGGGTGGGGATGCAGGGCATGTTTGCATGTGCATGTGTGGCTATGAGCTGCTCTACCACATGTGAGCATGTTTTATGGCTCTAGAGGGAGTTAAGGTTAATGCAATAAAACAACCTTTCCCCGTGCCCAGTGTCTGTCTCAAGAGAGGTTCTAAGAGCAGAAAAAAAGTAAGCAAGAAAGGCTAGCAAGCAGTGCAGTGAAGAAGAAAAAGGTTCAGCTTGTTGCTTATGCTGCTAGAAGGTATCTCTTCTTGGACTCTTGTGACACTGACATTGCCACTGCTCAGGATTAGCTGGCTGTTATGTGAAAACCTCCATTTATAAGGCACTTGAGATGAGCAGCCTGCCTCATCCCAGAGGGAAAGTGTATTTTTAGCAGGCTGGCAAAACACCTTTTGTGACTGTTAACACATATTTCAGCTGCTTCTTACTTGCATAAATTCTTTCCAGGATGTGGACATGACCCTTCAACCAACCATTTAAAGACACATGCTTGCCAGTTCCTCATGAATGAAGTTTATGTATTTGTTTGTGTATTCCATCATTTCAGGCCTCTCAGATGCCTGCAACAGTGAATTTAAACATATGAGGGAAACCATGTATCTAGAACCTATCTTCAGTATTTGTGTTGGAGCTGATCTCTGTATTATTAACAGACTGGTACTGACTTTATGAAGCCTGACCTTTGATTATTATAAGTCATTGTATTGTACTTTGGGCTCTGGGTGTGCTAGTTTTTAAACATCTCTATTGTGTACCAGGAAAAGACTTAAAAGTTACAGTTCTTCAAATTGCATTTCCATCATTCAGTCATAATTCAAAACAGGGAAGAAAATAATAAAATATATAAATAACTGAAAAATCTATGTTACTGGCTGCTTTGTTATTGTTACTTTGATATATTTTGATGTTTTAAGTTTACCTGTTATATTGTTATTTGCTTTGCGTCACTTATCCAAGGGGATGGGTTGGATTTTGGAAAAGGAATTTTAAAATTGTGTGGAGGGCAAATAATAAAAACTATTCTTAGTCAAGGAAGTAAAGGGATCATCCATATGTTCTGGAAACAGTCTTGGTGTGCTTTACTGTGTGTATGAAAACAGGTGGCCACCTTCCTTTAATGAAGATGAATAATTCCCAACAGGTCTTAATATAAGGCTTCATTTTCATTTGCTGATAAACATTACGTAATCTTGGTGGAAGCCCCCGCATCGTAGAATGATGCTCTAGTGATATGTACATTGATCAGTGTAAGGAGATCTTCAGTCCAGTGTGCCAGAACCATTACACTCTGTCTCTCTGGCTAATTGAGGACCATTTAATAATGCTGTCCAGCAGCTTTTAGGCCAATGAGATGTCATTGATTTTACTTCTTTGTTTGAAGCACACGTCCTTTTATTGCCATGACCCCACTGTCTTCTCTTATCCACTGCTTGTTCGAATAGCCCACTGGAGGTGCTTGCCATCATTGCCAACCATGTGCACATGCATTTACCTCCATGAGGTAATGCAGTTTTTTTTTACATTTACTGTCAGCCCTCCTGGCAATAACTGACTCATGACACCATGTTTTTTCATCACATACCTCACTTCATGCCCACTGTTTTCTTGTGCATTCTGTTACTCTGAACTTCTCTTTCCATAGTTCTTCTTCTCTCTCCACTTTGCAATCAATCAGGTGAAATGCCGGCACTCTTTTGTTTGAAACCATCAGTGTCACTCTGCTCCCCTTGGATAATTATTTATTTATGTTTTTGTATGCATTTAATCTTGCAGCGGTCAGTGGGTGGTTTTATGGAAGCCACCCTACAGCTCCACCCCTGCTGTTGTTTGTTTTCCTAGTTTAACAGGTGTGTGTGTGTGTGTTTTCTCTATTCCCCACACAGGTGGACAAGGTGTGTGGCCTGTCTACTGGGGAACCCACAGGCAAGCAGTCTGCTAGCCCAGAGGTCACAACCTCTAATGTGACCTCATCTTCTCCTCTTCCATCTGCTGCCTCCTCTCAACCTCTACCAGAACAGCTACTAGGGCAGTTTGCTCATTTGAGGAGGTAAGACAAAGCAATAAACTTGATTAATTCAGTCAGATTCAAAAGTTTACTACTGCCTGTTTAAAATATGTTTTTCTGACAAATTTCAGCTACAGTTCTTTTTTTAATGCTGGTTAATGAGTTACTGTATACTGCTAACTAGCCAGCTAAATGGAAAGTCAATTTCAATGAACAAGTTTATATGACATAGTTTGAGGTCAGCCTATATCAACTCATTTGCCATCACCCCTCACTTTCTTCATCCGGTTGGATGGATACGCCCACACATATTGTAAATGTAGTGCCTGGCACTGAAGTGCATGCCCTCCACCTGGCCTCTGAGGCAGCCACCCCATGCCCACAACAGCTGGCTGTGACGTGCCAGGGAAAGGGGAGAGTTGGTAAGATTAATCTTGACGGACCAACAATTTCCTGTTTACCCAGACGGCCATACCACCAACGCTACCCGCCAGCTGGTCTCAGCCTAAATAGCACCACACACAAAAATGTACACACAGACACGCACTTTCAGCGTTGCCCGCCTGACCTTGTCCCAGACCATGAATTACTATACTGATGCCAGCCTAGCTGACAGATCTGGCCTGGCACTGCCACCGCCATTCATGGCAGTAAAATCCAGCTCCCTGCCTCCTGCCAACCCTGACCCGAGTGCTGACCACTTCAGAGTCATAGCAGTACCCAATGCAGTAAAGGGAGAATAGTGTGCTGCTGAAAAATATCAAACATTGTACAGTAGAACATTTATTTTTTGTTTTAATAGGAGAAACTGGGTGTAAACATTCTGAAAAACTTACTCTGTGCAGGTGCAGATGTTTTTTGGTGTGTTTGTTTACCTGTTTTGATTGTTTGATGTGGCATGGGGAGAAATGGTTATTGATTTATTTGTGGTGTGGCCAGTGCATGTGCATGATTAATCATTGTCTTCTTTTCTCCCCCCTACCTACATGCCATCTTATGTCATCCTTTTGGTTCCTTTTTCT